TTCTTCCTGCTGCCCTCTGGGAAGAGGCTTTGCAGCATTTGATGCAGATTCAGTAACAGCTTCTTCCCCACTGCCATCAGACTACTGAACTGTTGAAAAAACTCAAAATCATGTCCCATACTGTGCATCAAACTGATAAAACCAAACCAAAATACTGCATATTTGCACTATATATATTAATGCTCTGAACTTTCATATCAATTTGGTTTTTTGCACCATGTTTTTTTTTTTTGTCCCACACTGTTTACATTTTATCGCTGCTGCACTTTAAGGAATGGAAATGTCATGAGAGCTGTACAAAACGAAATTTTACACTCTGTGTATACAAAATGACAATAAAAGTTGTTTCAGTCTAAGTTCTCGTTCTCACCACCGAAGGAAAGAAAAAAAAAAATTCGGAAATCTTGAAGCAGGAATAAAAAAACCTGTAACTTGACTCCATGTAATTAAGATCACTTACATGTACTTAGCTAAAAATTGTGAGGTCACTTCATGCTTTTGTATGCTTTATTTTTTTGTTTGTTTGTTTGTTTGTTTTTTAAAGGCAAAGTATGACAATTTTAACATACTGGAAGAACACATTTAATCTTTGATTAAAGAGATTAGACCAACCAGATTATCCTTCTTTCTGGATCTACTGCATGTTACTGTGTTTTCACTGAGTGGTTTTAATCTAATCAAGTAACTGGTGCATTTCAGTATGTTACAATTAGTAAACCCTGAAAAAAAATTTGTTGCTGTGATTGATTTTAATTTACATAACCTAATTTTCAAACTTGATGAAGATTAGATACTAAAGCTTTTCAAGTGGTAGGGCTGCTTGTCCTGTTTATACCCTTAACTCCTGTAATCTATCTAAAAAAAAAAAGCAAGATCAGGGGTAAGATTGATGCTTGGTATTTAACCACTTTATTGACTCAAAGATCATGCTTTTAAGTAGCTCATGACGTTTTCTCTCTGCTTAAAAATAAGGCTGACAGTCGGCACTATTTGCTTTTAGTTTCCGCACCAGGACAAAATTAGGCTCAGTATAAAGTTAAACTAATAGAATAAAGATTATGAAGAGTTATAGTCAAAATCTACAGAAGAGGATTAGGGCCACTGAAAAACAAAAAAAAGCTAACTGATTTTTAAATTTTATTTCAGTATAATATGAGAAAAAAGTCAGAATTCTGATTTTAATTTCAGAATTCAGACTTATTTTTCTAAGAATTCTGACTTTAATTTCAGAATTCTGACTTTTTTCTCAGAATTATAACTTTAATCTCACGATTCTGACTTTTTTCTCAGAATTCTGACTTTAATCTCAGAATTCTAGATCTTAATGTATATGGGCACCATGACGGAAGAGATGTCGGAGCACTCAGCTTCACTGACAAATATTTGAGTTGTTTGTGAGGGCCAGTAACACATTGGTGGAAAATTACAGAAGTAGGCGACTTTTTACGTGACACAGGGATCCCCGGTGATGTTATTTCTTTAATGGAAGAGCAGAAGGTGATTAAAACAAGAGAGCTAGTTTAGTCTTTAAAATAGACATGACTACGGCTTGATGCTAACATGTTTATTAGCTGTCAGAAATTAGTCAGAATTCTGAGATTAAATTGTGAATTCTGAGAAAAAAGACAGAATTCTGAGATTAAAGTCAAAGTTGTTTTTACTAAAATTATATTTAAAAATCTGTTAACTTTTTTTTTTTTTTTTATTCAGTGGCCCTAATCCTCTTCCGTACAAAACAGACTGGAAACATATGGGTTGTTTTTTTTACAGGAATTTTAAATATCATATTTTTGTTTCAAATGGCGAACTTGCTCGAAATAAAAAAAAAAAACTTTATTCTGAGATTAAAGTCAGAATTCCTAGATTAATGTTATAATTCTGAGATCAGAAGTCAGAATTCTAAGATTAAAGTCAGAATTCTGAGGGAAAAAAAGTCACAATTCTGAGATTAAAATCTTTTTTCCCCATATTAAGCTGAAATAACATTTAAAAATCAGGTAACTTTTTAATATTTTCAGTGGCCCAAATTCACTTCCGTAAAAAACTCATCGCAAATCTAATCAAAATGTGATCATCTGGAACATTAAAGAAGCAATATAAAATAGCTAGGTCTACATTTATTTTTTTAAATGTAACTGTATGTTCACCCAGTTTGTTCGGCAAATTATTTTAAATGTTATTAATTTCATATAACCAGGTTCATCACATCGTTTCTTGTGATAAATGTCTTAAATTATAATGATTGGTCTCGTCATACTTTTGCAACACAACACTACGGACTCTTCAAGTCTTGAACGCAGCACGATGACGCATCCTCTTTTGATTGGTCAATTCAGACCAGCTGGTTAGATGTGAGCAGAGTATCTCAGTTTTGCAGGGAAGCTGTAGCTCGCCTCTTGCAGTCTGATGCCCGGGGACGTTTAATCAGAGGGAAGCCGTTTTTGGTCCATTTATAGTTGGAAACTATTTATTTGCGCCTCTCCAGTGAAAATGTCGTCGCCTGAAGCTGGTGGAACATTTACTCACCTCAATAGGTTCGAAAAACTATCGTGGAGGCCGTCTATCCGCGATTCAGGTTTGTAAACAAAACCATCTGCTAAGAAGAGTGCAACATATTGCACACACAGCAAAGCAAATGGAAACTGTTTAAATATTTTTAGCATGAACAGCAATTGTTAGGCAAAGGACGATTAGTTAATGTGAACTTTCTTTGTTCCTAACTCCGTTAGCTATAGCTACTTCAGGCTAAAGTTAGCTTCCGTTGCTACGGAAGCCCGGCAGCAGGTTTTGATCATTGTTTTTGTTGCTATAATCTCTCTGCAAATTGACATGAACATGTGGCAGTACAATGAAAAAAATTTGGGCGGACCAGATCAGACCAAAGCTGTAAACAAAATGGCGAAGTTTTATCTCTCATTTGATTAATTTTGTCAACTTCTATAACCACAGCATTGTTTGGTTTCTGCTCTCCCAAACATTAAAAGGGCTGTTATCTGTGAAAGGTCTACAGCACCATAGTGTTTCACTTAAAAAAAAAAAGCAACAGTACAATTGTTTTTTACAGTTAAGCTGTTGAATCTATATATAATGAAGATTTTATCATTTCGTATTATTTATTTTTAAAACCTCATGTGCCTGGTATCTATTTTATTTCCCTTTATTGCACAAACACAGTTTTCTGTACAGCCTCTTGCAGAACTGTGCATTATTCTTGCACTTGTTTCATATTTTCAACTGCATTTGTCAACAGCTTTATTCTGAGATCATCCGATTAAGAAAGAATGCACCTTTTTGATCTCAGTATAAATCCAGCTGGTATGTTAAGGCCTCAAAGGTTTATTAGAGAATAAACGGCATCAGAAAGAGCAGGGGACAGTTTGGGGATAAAAGCATTGCCAAAGATAAAACCTGGGTTAAACTTTTAAATATCACAAGCTATAAAGTTTCACATTATTCAGAGTTGGCTTAGAATTGAATGAACATGTCAGAGCTACAGTTAGGAATTTCAAAATGACTTTAGGCAATAGATTGTAGAGCTCTAAGTGCCTTTCATCAGAGCCATGTAAAGATGCTTACTCACCTTCAAAGAAAACATTTAATGAAACTTTTCAACAGTTAATAAATAAAAGGCTACTTTTAGGAGTGTATGGAGTTGACAATCCTCATTCTGTTGAGTTTATTACTGTCTGAATAAAGAAAATAAATAACGGGGCGAAGAGATTAAGCCAAGATGCAGTTTGCAAAAATGTAGTAGTGGGTTCTCTGCTCTGATAAGTCTAAAGCAAAGTTTTTTGCTCTACATGCAAAGCACTGCATGGAGGAAAACAAAGAATGCCCATCATCCTGCAGGCATCACATTTACAATGAGTTTTCTTTTGCCAGAAATGATCTGGCGAGCGAAACCAGTCAGACTCAGCTCTTTAAATGTTTTTTCAGAGTAAAATTGATTTAAAAAAAATATTTATCTTCACATACAAAGTAGTTAATGCAGTAACTTAGGTGGTGTTCTGCTGTAATGCTAACAAAAAACAGCTCTGTATTGAGTCAGTATGGCTACATAACAAGGCACAATATACTTTGTTTTATTTTTAAACAAGACTGAAAACAATTAATAACTTTCATTTCACATTTATGTGCTACTCTTTGTTGGTCTGCTAAATAAGATATAAACAAATGACTGTAATGTCCAATAAGTGAAAATGTATAACTACAAATGGGTTATTATTTCTATCACATTTTATAGTTCGTATAGTGCTGAGGTGAGGTGACTTTGTTTTTGTATCTTCAGGCTCCAAGAAGCGAGCGCGATGGCTTCAGGCGAGACGCATCTTCTCCCCCAACGGCCCCAACCTCCGGATCCCCAACAGGTTCCTGAGAGAAGGTACTGACATTTGAGGAAAAGCAGATCGATGAGAGGATAAAATGTTTTTAGTAGGAAGTGAGAGAGATTCTGTGGTTGGTTTAGATTTGAATTTTTCCTGCAGGACACTGCATACCGCCTGCCCGCAGTGGACACCGCTGTGTTGCAGACAGCTCTAACCTGTACGTCTTTGGAGGTTACAACCCTGACTTTGAGGAGGCGGGCGGCTCAGAGAATGAGGACTACCCTCTTTTCAGGGAGCTCTGGCGGTTTCATTTTGCCACAGCTACCTGGCAGCAGGTTCGGACTGAGGGCTACATGCCCACAGAGCTGGCGTCTATGTCAGGTAATGACTGATGCTGAGCAGCGAAGGTGGGATTTAAGGGTGTCCTAGTGTGGGTACAAATATAAAGTGTAAATATCCTGCTTCTTGTTCTTAAACAATAAAATACCGTAGAAAATGGATTTCTGTAATCTGCTGATTTATTTTTTTTTGGTTTATGAACCCTACCTACAGACAAACCAAAAATCTAAGTGTATGTCTGCAGCCACATTCATCTGCAGATTTACCCAAACAAGTTGTTCATCCTCTTGAGATTTCAGTTTAACTGTTCTCTTTAACAGGTTAACTTCCTCTTTTTATGACTAAAATGTTGGTTTCCATGTCTGCAAACTACTCTTGTCTCCAATCAGATTTTATAGACATTGAAGCCTAATAAATACTTATTTATTATATATAATAATATTATATATATAAAAAAAATGTAAAATAAATCCCCCAATTGTGTCTCTATGTCTAAATTGTTAAAATTATTTGTCCCCAATTTTTATAAAAAAAATAATAATTTGATTTACACACGGCACAAATTTTAGCAGAGAAGAAATGGCCGTTGCACTACATTTTAAATTTTTTTTATATTTGCTGGTTAAATGTAAACATGAGATCAGGAGCAGAGTGTAAGATGCAAACCCTCAGATAATTTTGTCCTTCCGCTTCACTTAGTCTAAATCAAACTAATGTCTCTCAGCTGTCTTCCATGGAAACAACTTGCTTGTTTTTGGTGGCACCGGGATTCCCTTTGGTGAAAACAACAGTAATGACGTCCATGTCTGCAACGTCCAGTATAGACGGTGGAACCTGCTGAACTGCAAAGGGAAGAAACCGAATAAGGTGTACGGACAGGTAACGTTTCTGTGCATAGACCATAAATAATCACGGGCTGTTTGTTGCGTTTTACTTCGCCAAACACGCATCTGGGTTCTCCATTTCCAGGCAATGGTCATTATAAACGGCTACCTGTACGTGTTTGGAGGCACAACCGGCTACCTCTACAGCACTGACCTGCACAGGCTGGATTTGAGCACCAGGGAGTGGACCCACCTCAAACCCAAAAACGCTCCGTTAGATCTTCCTGAGGAGAGGTCAGTCTGATCAGAAAGACCACTGACACAACTGCAACTCAGCCTCTGTCACTTCTTGCCTTCATGTCCAGATTGTCCTTGCAACTAAAGACTGATAAAGTTCTGTTTGGGTTTATTTCTGCAGGTACAGACACGAGCTGGCGCATGATGGACAAAAAATATACATTTTGGGAGGCGGGACCTCCTGGATGTCTTATCCCTTAGATAAAGTAAGAAATACGAGATCAGTAAGACTTTTAAATACAGCTGATAGCAGAAACTTACTTACTGTATATAATGAGATAACCTTGTTTAACTCCAGATTGTTTGAAATTTATTTAAATGAAAGTTTTCCTATTTTAGTGTCTCCATTTAAGCTCTGCCCTTATGTGTTCTAGCTTGAGATCAGCGTTTTGTCAAGGACTCTCCAAAGTATTGATTTTGATGTCCTTAGAAAATATTGTATAACTGGCCTTTCAGCCCATGCCTATCCAGTGTTCTGGCATTTAGCAAATAATTATAGTAACTCTAACAGGGCTGGACGATATGGTCAAAATTTATATTGCAATATGTTTCTTTAATAAATGCATTATAATACAGATATAAACAAAAAGACGGCCTAGTGGTTAGGGCATTGCTCTAGGAATCCAGAGGTTTTGATTTCAAGTCCCACTCCCATGGACTGACACTCTGGGTCCCTGAGCAAGACCCTTAACCCCATCCTGCTCCCTGCGCGTCGCACAATGGCAGCCCACTGCTCCCCAAGGGAATGGGTTAAATGCAGAGTTAATTTCGTTGCTCTGTACTTGTGACAATGTAATGAGGGGAAAAAAAAATTATATATATATATATATATATATATATATATATATATATAACGCTGAATAATGCCCACAGCAGATTCCTAGACAACTGTTTTGCCATGTTTTTAAAAGTCTCATACAGAGCTTTAAAGTATTTGCTTTTAAAAATACAAAACAATTAAAACCCAGCTTGCCAGTCATTTAATCTTAGACTGTAATGTATACTGAAATAGGTGAAATGTTTTAAAAAGTCATATCATTCTTATTAACTTAAAATATATTGCAATATATTCTGCTATTAATTCTTGTTTAGTTCTGATTTAAAACGGGAAGCTTAATTTAATGTCAGACAATGAAGTAAAAGGGATTCATTTTAGATCTAAACATCTGGCTTTAACTTTAATTCTGTATTTTATTTCTGGTTTAGATTCATGCATATAATCTGGAGACCAACTACTGGGAAGAAATAGTGACAAAACCCCATGAAAAAATAGGTACGTTCTTCATGTTTTTAAACTAACTGTAGATTTTATGATTCCTTTTATGACTTACAACCTGTCTCTTGT